AAGAGTTCTCTTTTTTATGTTACAGTTTGAAACTTCTGGACCAGTGTAGTTATTTCAAGGTTCAGTTTTCAATTAAAATAACTTTTTAGCTTTTGTTTCTGTTGTTTTTACGTGAAGTTGTTGTCTCAGTATTTCTGTGACAGATGATTTATTGGAGACTGCTCAGCCTCCTTTATCAACCTTATTTCTGTATGTGTTGGGAATCTAACAAGTCTCCAAAAGTCCCTGTGTAATCTATAGCTTAGCAGCATGCTGCAGATACCCAGGAAACAAACAACTGCATAACAAAGGTCCAAAATTGTGTAGCACAGAATTTCCTAAGTTGTCTCCTACTCATTCCATGCCAGTCACTCAAATTGGTATACACTGGTAGTATTCTTGCTCTAATTAATCTGGTTTAATTTTAATTTCCATGGAATTTATGTTTTCTTTCATAATTATGTTTTTCTGTGCTGTTATACTAATGGCAATTACCAACACTGCAGAAGTTGTGAAAGGATCTGAAGGCTTTGACAGTTGGCTAGGGCTCAGTGGGTTCTGAAAGGTGTTTAGGTTCAGCTCAATGTGGTAGACTTGGCTGAGGGCATGAAATCATGTTTTGAATATGTGAAGAGAGAACATGGACTGCTGGAGACAGGTATGAACCATAAACTATTGCTGGCTCCTTCCCTGCTGTCCACAGTGAAATACATCACACTTGAAGAGGACTGATGTTTATTTTGTTCTGTTTCTTCTAAATGGAATTAAAAGGATTCTTTTAAATCATTACTGTAGGTATTCCTGCAATCTTCCAGAAGACTAGACTGTAACATTGCAGTGTGGCACAAGAGAAGTTAATTATTTGCAGTTAATCTATTTTTTTTGAGTGTTGCTAGTAAATTAAGTCCCATCCCTCAATAAAGACTTCTATTTTAATCATGTTTTGGCCTGAGAATGAGTATAGTTCTCCAGTTTCTTCTCACATTCCTCACTTGTAGCCAGAAAGGACAGGCATAGTTCATTAGAAAATGAATTGTAAAGCTGTTGTGGGAACTGAGAATAGGAGTAGGTTTGGGATTTTGATTCTTGAGCTGTGGGTGTGTTTTGAGTGAGCAAGAACCAAAGACTGTAATCACACAAAATGCCTCTGTTCTCTGCATGTCCAGCACCTATTCAGCTACAGAGAGCTCCATTCGCAGGTGCTGATATGATTTAATGATCACAGTTCTGGGAGTTGCTTCTGTTGGGGGTATGTGCAGATCCACAGAATTAATTAACTGTTATTTTTGAGGAAAGTAAAATTGGGAGGCAAGAAAATAAGAAAATAAAATGAGGTTCTTAATGATATAATTCACTTATACTTTAGTAAGTAGAAAAGGTGTCCTACCACTGCAGTCTCCAACAAAGGAGTCGAGTGTCCAATTATCAGCAACATCCTTTGCTGATCTTAGGTACTATTAATTGTTGAAACCATTTGACACATATTTATTTGGGGGATAGATTAGAGATCTCCCAAGGTCCTGTCAGCTCTTTGTTCTTTGATTCTATAGTCCAATAAAAGGTTGGTAGCTGTTTTATTTTGTTGCATTAAAATGGTGATGTTGTTGCATTTTTCTTGGGCTTTTTAACCCAATTACTCTTCAGGTGATGAAAACAAAGTGACACTTCTTGGTCTTGGAGCAGTGGAACATTTGTATAAACTCATCACACATGAAGATCCAATTGTACGCAGAAATGCCATCACGGTATTTGGCATCATGGCTTCTAATAGTAAGAGTCTCCATTTTTTAATACTTTTCAATGTGTGGTCATCAAAGCAAGAGGTGCCCATGTGAAAAAATCCTGTATTATTGGCCCAGAATAAAGGGACCAATTAGCTAGAATGAACTCCACTGAAGATAAAAGAGTAAGTGATGTAAGGTTGAGTTTCCGTGGCTGTTATTCTTACAGGGCTCTATAGACCTATGTCTAATTAAGGTAATTAATCAGGACTTATTTTGGTGGATGTTCTACCCATTGTCTTCCATGGTGGTATCTCAACCACTCAAGCACTGCTGCCTGTTTTCCATGCTGCACTGGACTTTATCCTCTTTACCTTGCTCTCAACTCAGCATTAGCATATAGTCAGTGCTGCTGCAGAAACATGGATTTAAATGAAAAAAGGTCTTCCATTTATATTCCTGTCTTAATTGGCTTTTTATTAAATGTAAATTAAACTCATACCTTTTTTCTTACATTTCAACACTTTAATGTGTTGATAATAGCCACACAGCCCTGTAAGATCGTGTGAAGTCTGTCCCAGATGTTGTTTGATTTTTCAATCCAGTGGTTGTGGTTTAGCTAGTTTGCCATTGACAACAATAAAAATGCATTCTGAAAGTCTTTACTGTGATTTTAATAAGAATGGGTACCTTCATGTTTTCCATTTGCAGTGTGGGCTGGTGTTAGCATAAAATTGCAAAGTGGTGGCTCGAAAACTAAATGACAGAAGGACTGCTTTTAGTCTGATAATTTTAACCACAAAGAACTATCAGGGTATGACTTCTTTGGCAACTAAAACCGTGCAGTATTTATATGTGAACCTGCTAGATGCAAGTATTTTGAATAAAGTTTCAATGAAGTATTGAGGAACTTCATATATATCAAATGTCATAGAATGTCATCTGGCATTTGACAGTATCTTCTATATTTTTCTGGGCCCATTATAATCTTAGTATAACAGTTGTGTGTCATTCCCAGTCAGATCTTTCTGTCACTCAGGGAGTAACCACAAGTACATTTTTCTTGAAGGAGATTCTGTTTCTTTAGTCAGCCAAGACTGCCAAACGAAATACTTCATATTTGTATTTGTTTCATTGTAGGTGATGTCAAGAAGTTACTGAGGGAACTGGATGTCACGAGTTCCCTGATACCACAGCTGGCACCAGAAGGTACCTTGCAATATTCATTGGCTGGCCAAAAATGCAGCAGAAATAACTTATGATTGCCATTTGATCAGACAATTTAATAAAATCTTCCCTGTAGCTTATGCTCTGTAAATGCTTTCATAGGAGTAGTCATGTTACTCGGTGAGTAGTGTTTTTTGTTGTACAGATGGAGCAACATGTTTGTGGAGACATCAGGTATGATTAACAGCTATTATTTACTGACCTCAAATAATATATTAAACAATTGGATTAGTGAACGTATTCTGTGCTGAATAAAACTTGATCAAAATGTTTCTTTTTTTTTTTTTCCCCGCAGAAGATGTAGTTATCCATGAATTTGCTACTCTCTGTCTAGCACATATGGCTGTTGAATACACTACTAAAGTAAAAATATTTGAGCAAGGTGGATTAGAACCACTTATCAGACTGCTAGATAGCCCTGATCCTGATGTTCAGAAGAATTCAGTTGAGTGTATCTACCTTCTGGTACAGGTAAAGTTTGCTGTTGTTTGTTGTTTCAAATTCCAGAGGCAGATAAGCACTTCCCCCTCACCCCTGTCATCCTCTATGGGGTCAATAATTTTAAAATACTTGTTTCCTTTACTCCCTAGTGTTCATCAGTGTGTTTGAAACATTACACCCAAGTCCTTGATTGTTAAATTAGTTATGAATATTTCTGATTTCACTCTAATTCTCTTGAACTTAACACAATTATCTGTGCTGTACAGCAATATAAGTAAAATCAGAATGAGACTCAGATTTTTTAAAATTAAATAGTAATTTGTTTTCTCAGTTGGAAAATGTTAATCTTGGTAATGAGGGTTATAATCTGTCTATACAAAAGGTTGGAATAATCCTCGCAATTAAAGAACAACCATTTGCATTGTGTCTTGTTTTGACCAGCAAGTCCATAGCACAATTTTGAACATCTTTTTAACACTAGGTGAATGCTGTCAACAGCTACTTTCCATACTGGGAGGAATAGATTTGTTATTGGCTACTTTCACACTCTGCACTAATGTCATCCATATGCTGCTTAGCAAAAGAATGGTGCATTTGTGTGGCAGTTCTCTTCCGTGGCTTAAGCGAATCAATTCAGTAATGAATTCAGTTTATAACTCTATCTCTTTTGGGGCATCAGAGCATGTCTATTCAGAATCACATTTTACTCTTTCTCCTTTTTTACTATCTCACTGTCTTTGTTGCAGGGTATATCTGGATAACTGCACCTGGCGCTTGCTTATATTGATAAGGATAATTGCATGCTGCACATATGCAATAAGCTATTTAAAAGCAAATTGTAATTTATTTATTTATTTCCTATTTTAATATCATCAACTACTGTCTTTTTATTAAGCTGCACATACACTGTTTAAAGTTGAAAATTTAAATTGGTGGTTTAGAACTGCTAAAACACAAAAATAAAAGGATATAACACAGTAAAGTGCAAAAACTATTTTCCCCCACTGAGGTAAATAAAAATGATGAAATGAAATTTAAAAAACTTTCTTAAAGAAAGATCTGTGTTGATCCAGACATGGCAAAACCAAGAATAAATAGGCTTTCTTAGACAGGACTAGATTCTGTACTGTGTACTTCAGTCATGTGAAAAAAATCCCCTAGAATTTAAGGTTCATGGGGCTTGATTATATTCAGTTTGATTTTAGCTCAAAAGAAAGAAATCTTCAGAACTGGAAGCTCTGGAGTATTGACTTATTTTTTTATGTCTGAAATCAGATTTTTGGTGTTCTTTCTGTAAAGTCAGGAATTGATGTATTGTTATATTCCCTATCACTAACATTCTTTGTTGAATGTTTTACTACAGGATTTTCAAAACCGTGCTGCAGTTCGTGCACTGAATGTAATTCCACCCTTGCTGGAGCTCCTGAAATCTGAATACCCAGTTATTCAGTCCTTAGCCCTTAAAACCTTGGAAGTAATTAGCAAAGACAGAGAAACCAGGATAATACTGGGAGAAAAGAAAGGATTAGATTCCATTATGAAGATACTGGAAACCAATGTATGGTTTACTCGCCTTTAAAGTTTTCTGTTCTTGCTGCTAATGTTTGTATGACTAATGAGAAATATTACTCACGTTATGGAAGAGTGATATATGAAGAAAGAATTCCTTGGAGTTAACTATGATTGCAATAGGATAAGCTGGGATACCTAGCTCACTAGGAAAGGAAGCAAAGGGATTCACCAAAATATTTATATTTGGTTTATTGCTTTATTGCTCTTCGTAATGCTGTTTTGCATTTATTGTCCATTTCTCAAACTGTTGTAAATATCAGAAAACTTCACCATATAACTTTTTATACAATGTTTTCTTGGCATTTTTTTATTATACACTGAACTCTGGTGCTGGTTCCTAGTCTGAATACTGATCGGTTTTTTCCTTAATTTACTTTCATGTCAATGGCCTTAAAAATAATTTCCTATCTTGGAATTGTCATTATGTTATTATAAGACTGAGTCCAGTGCTTCTAGAGTTCAGGTGTCACCATGGGAAGTAAAATGCATAGAGAAATTTGTGAAGGTTTTGAAATTTTAAGATGACAGATCCATTCTGAGTACCTGCCTAACCCACCTTGATGTAAATGGGAAACTTTTGGAGCCTTTACTGGTTTTGATAAACTGTGTTGCATCCTAAGGCATCATCAAATAAACTGTACATAAAATACAAGTATGAAAAGATGGACTTTGCAGTATGAATAAACTGTCTAAAAGAAACTGACAACAATTATCCTACAAACTTAAAAGCCAAAGATATTTTAATCCTGATTTGAAGGTTATTTGTTTGGTGTTTTTTATTTATTAGGAATACAGCATTCTACATGTGGAAGCTCTTGCTGTGTTGGGAAATTGTCTTGAAGATGTGCACACCCTGCAACTGATTCAGCAGACAGGAATGCTTAAAAAGCTGCTTGCATTTTTAGGAGTCTCTACTGCTCCTGATATTCAGAAGAATGCAGCAAAGGCAATTACCAAAGCAGCTTATAACTGTATGTGACTTTTCAATAATCCATGGGCATGAATTGGTTTATGAAGGAAATTTACATCCAGAATGTGTCTGTCATACCTGGCTGAGGGTAGTAGTTGTGGAGAGGAAAATACTGGCAAGAATGAATTACAGTAATGAGTCTCACCAAGCAGAAGAGCAATTGGATGCTAGGCTATATATATTTATATCTAGATGAAAATGTTAAGATTTTGCCTCTGCTTGTTTTTAAATGTAATATAGTCTTGAAAAATGCTGTCCTCAATGATCAAGGGCAAATGGAGCTCTGAAAACATGATCTTTGTCTTTTGTTTAGTGATGCCAGGTAGCTACCATTAAGCCACCTTTGCTGGCACTTTCTCACCACTATCAGTTAAGACTTCATCACAGGCTGACTTCTTTTTTCATTCAACTGCTCATCTAAATGTCAGGCAATTTCAAATACAAATTCCTTTAACAGGGGCATGAAAGAAAACCTTTCAAATGGCTTGCAGATTGATATTCCCAGGGGAGTTAAATAGTTCCATTGTAATCTTTTCATAATTATTCATCCTATAGTTCTTTTTTTATATTTTTCTTCCATTCATGAAGGAATTCTGAATTAGGCAGAACATGCTCATCATTTTTGCCCACAAGGATGCTCTTTAAATAAAGCTTCGTTTTGAAATTCCTTCCACACTTTGGCTTCTGAGTTGCAACATATGCCAAGCAGTGTTGTGCTACATAACACAATGTAACTAATAACATTCTTCTCTCTATAGAAAATTTCAATTCTGTCAAGGGAATTTTATGACAGTAACTATGACAGTGGAGCTTAAGTATTTCGTTCGTATTTGCATCACCTTGTGGCTTTAATTTATATATATTTTACAAATATGTTTTTTAATACATGGCTAAAACAGGATCTCCTTCCTGCCAAATTTCAGACCTCCTTACTTCCCTCCTCATGTTATCCTTCCAATTCTTTTCTCACCTTGCTTAGTTTGACATCCTGAATATTTGTAATTTTTTGCATTGCAAATGATGCACAAAAATAGTGGAATCTGCCTTTCCTAGTATTCTGTGGGCTCCTGTATGCTTTTGTCATCTATTGGAAGTCACTGAAAATTGTTTTCATTAATGTACAGGTATCAAAGATAGGAAGGGACCTTCTTATGCCAGTATTTTTGTCATGTATTTTCCTGTATTGTTATTTTATTATGCTACTTAGGACTGTCAGTATCATTTTTATAGTCCTGTGACAGGCTTGTAAGTTGTATGCTAAGCAGATTTATATTTGCTCCTACTGCTTTCTACTGTATCTTACTCCTTTTTCATATTTATTTTCAAATAAGCATAGCCTTCTTTTCCTCTTTCACACATTTTTCAGCTTTTGTGGCCCAATATTTTAGCAGCTGTTAGTAGAAGCATGTCTGAACACATTTTTAAAGCACAGTGGCAAGAACTACACATAATATATTACACTACTGCCTATGATCTTATATCATGGGATGTTACCGTCACTGAAGATGCATCTTCTTGTCATGCTTCTTTACAAATGGAGTCAATGTGGTTTCATTAGAAAGGTTTGCTCTCTTCTGTGGCCTGTGACAGCTGGTATGGATGCAGCAAGCTGGGAAAATAGATCAAAAGAAGATTTAAAATATTTGCTTCCAAGCTGTAGAATCTTGGTGACAACCAGTTAGACAAAGGGAAACTCATACTGGTGCAGTGAATGTCCAGTGGACTTGCTGCTCAACATTGCCCTCAGAAGCTTTGAATTTTTTAGATACATAGAGCTACTGGTGTAAACTCAGCCTTCCAGTGGAAGAAAAGTGGCTTTAGGGCCATTATAGGAAATAGCCCAAGTGCAAAAAGAAAACAGAAATATTTGCAGTTCTTGTTTCATTGGATTTTGATTGTAAAAATACTAAACAGCCTATCCAAACTGCAACACTAATGTATACTATACTAGTACTTGCCTTGATGTGAACCCAATATAATACAACACAGGTCTAAGTTGTTTAGTGACATTTTCATTAAATTTGCAATAGCCTCATAGTAGCCCAGAATCCTCAGGTTTGATAATTGTGGTTGCAATTTACCAACATTTTCTGCATTCTTAAGAAAAAAAATCCCACTGCTTTTCATTGAAATGAAAAACTTCCTTCTGCTATGACAGAACATGTATGTAGGTGGTTTTTTAATCCTAGCAGCTGAGTATACAGCAGTGTCTGGTTTTGAAATTATTACTGTTGACAGATGGAATTTAGTTTTGGGGTTTTTTATTTTCCCTGATAGATGTGATCACAACAAACAGTTTTGTTCTATGTCTCTTTCAGCCCTTTGGAAAGGGACTCCTGTAACTTGGTGTTGATGTTATAAGACAAGATTTATCCCTTAAGAGCTATTCTCAATATCAGAATAAATTACATGGTACAAACATGATATTCAATTTTAAATAGCATCTTTAGGATGCTGCTCTGTTTAAGTACATTAAAATTGATCATATTTCTATACATAATCATTATACTTTTGCCCCTGAAAATTTGGTTTGTTCTGTAACATACTTTTGAATTTAATATAGTAATTTATTGATGGTTTTATATTGTATGCTCAGAATTATAGTGGTGAATTATACAGTGATTCCCTCCTTGCCTAGCAAATAATGCAGTCATTTCAGAGTGCAAAATATAATTTAATGCTATAAATTATTGAATATCTGTGAGTGGATAATCTGGACTGTTGATTAAGGAGGGCCTGACTTTCTCCTGACAATGCCAGACACACCAGTAAACAACATAATGCTATGGGGTGTGTATGGAGAAAGTGATGATCACAGTCACTTTAGTTTGGCCTCACTCTGCCTAACTTCTGGTTTGAAGCTGTCCCTGTTCTTTATGTGTCTCTCAATGCAAATCCTTTCAAGAGGAGCCACTAGATGTGCTCTGCAGCCCAATTAACACATGCATTTCCTAATACAGGTTTTCATTTACCTGGGTTATCTCAACTCAAGATCAGTGAGAGGTCATGATGCTATTTAACATTAACTTTTTTTCATTTGAAATTGGTGTAAGTAATTCCATAAGGTGGTGACAGTGACCTGAATATGTAATCAGTAGAACTTTGATTGTGATTTTGGGGTAAGAAGGGGAAATAGTTTGTCTCACAATGCAGCCAATGCATGAAAAAACAGACAGAATTGCTAGTACTCCAAACTCTTAGTTGTGTGTATTTGAGTATTTTCCTTCATGTTAAATCAATGTATTCAAATTACTTAGGGGTGAAGACATTCATCACTGTAAAAATGGTGTTGGCACTGACATGAGAAGTACTTCAGTACAGAGGATGCTTTTCAATTGTGCATTCTTTTCTGTAGTAAAGGAAACAAAGGAAACAACTCATACAGGCAGAGAGAGGATCAGCAGAAAATGTTCCTCCCTTAAACAAAATTGGCACCTGGATCTTTAAATGCTAATAATTTTCATCTGTCTAACTAGCTAAATATATGTGCATGTTCCTTACCATAAGTTCAAATTCAAGATCTGTTTTTCCACATTGTTGAAAAACACTTTTTCTGTTTAAAATATTTTAAATCACTGTTTTCACTCATTCAAATTAATTATTCATGGTATTATTATTATTATATACAGGCATACATTATCTTTAAAATGAAGCACCCATCATCATAGCTGTCTTTAAAAGGGCAAGAATAATTTTTAAGAAAATCTGTATTGTAATAAGTAACTTGCTGTGCAAACCCCAAGACACCAAGGCACGAAGAACCTCTTGAGATCATTATTTGGCAAGCAACAGGCCAGCAGCAATACTAGATAACTTGTCAGAATGGTCTGTAATCCCAATTAAGGCCTTCTCTTGAGAGCTGGCTGATAGGCATCAAGGTTGTGGCCAAGGTTCTGTTGACACTTAAAATTGTCTCCGTTTTATTTGTTGCATCTTTGTTTTGTAATTTCATTTGTGTATCTGATGACTTTAAAAATGTCTTATATTGAGCTAGAGAGGAGAAAGCGACTGTAGCCTTCTCATCTATTTGAGTAACTAGATTTTCAATCAAACTTTCTTTTCATTGACTTTGTGGGCTTCTGTTTGTTTGCCTTTATTCACTGCAGGTTCATATTTATGTAAAAGAAGCTATTTCTTTTAATTTTTTTTCATTGGACAACAGTCCAAACAAGGGAATGATCCCTTAAGAGCTGTAGTAAGCACTGGTAAAATTTCTAAATGTGTTGAAGTCCCACTGACTTTTCAGGTCCTGAATTTCTTTAATACATTCAAAAATTCTACTATGTAGCTATAGCTTCCAGGCTGTAATTAATCTGCTTTAAATTAGGCATATGGTTAAATGTTTATTGACCCTCATCACTGTAGAGCTTCTGTGCTATCCAGTGCCTTTCTGGGTGAGAAAGTTTCACTTGAGGCTCTTTCCAACAAGCACTTGCATTTCTGATCTCATCCACTTTGAGATGAGGGAGTTTCTTAGATTATTAGTATCTACATGCAGCTGTCTGGAGATACTGTGTAGATGCTGCATGTTCCTACTTGTGTAGAGGAAGGGAACATCACTCAGCTGCTGCTGGTCTCTGCAGTGTAGGCCAGCATTGGACCCTGTGTCACCAGGCTGTGCTGCAGAAATTGGAATTCTCTGCAAGCTGTGCATTAATGAAGACCTACAAGCTGTACAGAATGTACATTTTCCTTTGTAACACCCCTTACCTTTTTTTGGCTGTTGTAGTATGTTAACTGGTACTTCCCCAAGTTCAGTTCTACATTTACTAGTATGTTTTTCCATTTTACACATTTGGGCTTTGTTAGCATGAGCTAAAGTTAAGCATGATCCTGAGTAAGTGTGATCTGTTGAACTGAAAAGCTGTTTCCATCAAGCCTGTGTGCATTCTGCAGTTTTAAAGTCTTACAGAGAACAAACTTAGCATTCTCTTGGGCTATGTACGTTTAAAGCTGCATTTAATAGTCATCATTTGGGCTTGATTCAGAGTTCACTGAAGTCTAATCCAGGAGTTGGACTTGAATGATCCTTGTGGGTCCCTTCCAAGTCAGGATATTCTATAATGGGTTTTGGATCAGGTCCTTTGTGCACATTTCTTAATGGCTGGTGCTTCTGTTACTAAAGTATTTCCAACAACTCTATGAAATTAAATTCATGTCCTTTCACTGATTTGGAAAAGAAATGCTGATTAATGCTATTGTTATTTCTCCTTTAAAGTTGAAACCCGCAAAATCTTAAATGAGGAAGAGGTTGAGAAGTGTCTCCTAAACCTTTTGGAAGCTGACAATGATGAAGTTAAAGTTGCTGCTTCCCAAGCAATTTCTGCCATGTGTGAGGAGGTAGCTAGCAAACGTGCACTTGGACGCCAGGGTAAGGAAGGTGGGAAAGGATGAACTGAGAATTTGTGCTTTTCCTTTTATAAAGAGAATATTATAATTTTGCAGACTGGCATGGTTTATTCAAAGGTTCATGTATACAATTATTTCTTTCAAAGGGATTCCCCAGCTAGTACAGTTGCTAAGCAGTGATAATGAAGAGGTAAAAGAAGCTGCAGTGACAGCGTTAGCTAATTTGACAGCAGCCAGTCCTAGCAATGCAAGGTGAGTCTGAAATAATTAAATTATTATTTGAAACATTAATCTGAACACAAGTGATAATGTTTTGATTTTTAAAGAATGCCTCATCTTGTCCTTATCCTACAAGGCAGATCTGTTTGAATTTGACTATAAGGCACTTTTTGGTGCTTAGGAGTCCTCTGGAATAGGTTGGTTCTCATCAGTGTTACAAGAGTTGTGCTCTCTCTACTAACATTTGCTTCATCAAGGAAAGGTATGAAGCAGATGTAATAAAAGCAGAGATATGAATCATGTTTTGAAGAGAACATATGAGCAAAATATGCCTCGTGATCTAAAGCATTTGATGTGGAATATTTTTGTAAATCCAAAATCATTAAGATAGTTTAAAATTTGTTGGTTCATGCAACTATTTTGACTGATCTAAATCCAGTGTTTGAGGGGAGGTAAAACTCAGATCTTCTGAATATTTGCATTGTCTTTTTCTTTTTGTTTTTTTTTTTTTTTGCATTGCTTATAGTGCATTCTCTAAAAGAAAAGAAGTGTAACTTCAGTATCCAAATTAACTAACAAAGAATGGTTATCTGACTATATGTTCCAAAACAATTGTATCAACTAAATTCTTCTGTCAGTTGCAGAGTTCTGTTATCCCAACACTATTAAAAGTTCTGCTCAGGGAAAAGAAACAGAGCAGTCTGACATATATGAGCAATCACATGTAACTTACAAAACCATAAAATAAAATTCCTTAAAAGTTTCCCGGAATGTACTTAAGGAAGTTGTAATCAATTCACAGGCATTCTTTGAAGTGAAAAAGTAAAATAGCTCACAAAATAAATTATTTGTTCCAATTTATTGATTCAGCTTTAATAGTCACCAGTATTCACTTAATGTTACCAGATGGAGCCATAATTTGACACAAGAGAATAATACCATGTTCTCAGATTCACATAGTAGATTTTTCTTTTGTCTGATATTCTGCTCTCCTCATGTGCTGGATTCTTCAGTCGGTGTCAGTGGGAGTCATACATAAAATGAGCACAGTGCTGGAGTCTAGGGGGTCAAACTTTCAGCTCCACTACAGCTGGTTTTTGTAGTGCAGCCCTCTGAGGTTTCACATTGTGAAAAGGGAATGTCTGGAGAGTTTTGAGTTGGTATAGCAGCTTATGCCAACTCATTCCATTTCTTTTGCCAAGGAGATAGTCAGGGCATTGTTTAGTTCAACTGCTGGAACAATTCTCTGAGACCTCAGGCAGGGAAATAGCTGTCTCTGTTCCTCTGCATTATAATGAACTCCGTATTTGTTTCTTGCTGGGCAGAGTCAGGAAATTGTAAAGGTGGCTTACATATACTTCTCTCTCTTTGCAATCCAGCTCCAAGTACAATATGGAAGCACCAGATAATCTAATCACAGGTCTTCTGTGAAAATCAGGAAGCAATAATTTACATTAAATATGTATATTGGATGAATGCCATGTGACTGTATAATTACTTCAAAGCTTCATTTCTAAATCAAAACCATTAATAAGTCATAGAAGGGTCCAGTGTGACTAGGATCTGTAAATGAATATATAGAGTAGAACCCTTAGCTGTTACAAATTGGTATAGTTCCAGCTCACTGACTGACTATTTGACCCATGTTTATTTTACATTCGCATAATAGGAAAAAAAATAGTTTTGAGAAAATTCATTCCAGATTGAGTTATCATAATCATATTTCATTCTAAAATGTTTTGTGTGTATGTCTTGTAAACCACTGAAAATAAGTGTATATATAATAAAGATGCTGATACACTTTTATAATAATGTGGCTTTTCTGTGTAATTATGTTGACAATATTCTGGTCCCAAATAAGACTAATGAGACCAGTGCCCTTTTATTGGTTACATATTAGATTCTTGTTATAAACACTCCGAGGATATTAAATCGTAAGGGTAGTAGTAGCAGGTAGACCTTATGTAGCAAGAAAAAAATGGATACAGTAATGGGAAAGGCTATTTACTGTAAATGCTTTTACTTTTTACTGGCCAGTCAAAAATTCAGTCTTGTTGAACTCATATGCCTGTGTTCTGCCAAATTTGATGATCAGTTTTGTATGTAATATATTCATTGAAGGGAGTGTTCCTTGCCCTTTCATTTTGTCCAGTAAAACAGAATATAAACAGAGGACAAAACACTGCTGGTTTTGCTAGAGATTTGTTCTTGTTAGGAATATTTGCTCAAGAAGTGTTGCCTGCTTTTCATATAATATGGAAAAAATACAATTTAAACCAAATTGTGTGTAATTAAGTCTCCCACAATTGCTAGGTCATAAAGATAAAGTCTTCCATTGATTAATTACACAAGAACAGCATAAGGAATGGGCAATACTACCCCCCACTAATGTATATTAACCTTGACCTTTAGGTGCTTCCCCACAGCAGTGAAAGGCTAGTTCTATACCCCAACCCAATCAATCCTTTGTTTCTCAACTGAGACAGCTAATAAAGGTGTCAAATATGGTGGAGGTTTGGTAATTAGAACACCTGTTCACGACGACGGGGACAGAGACCAGCTTGTCATTTCACACAAGTCCCCAAGCAACCATGATTTGGCAAAAATAAATAAATTAATTGATTAATCTGGCCCCCCATAGTATTTTAACCAAAGATCTAGAGCAGAAGAGAACATGAGTCCCGTACAAGTGGTTTGAGGTTTTGGGTTTAGCAGAAAACATGGGTTTTCAATACAATCTCTACCAGAACACATCACAGTTACTATGCATGACTTCTAAAATATTTCAGCATCTAAGTTTTTGCTGCAGAGCTGATGTTGTGTCATGCTTCAGTAGCACATAGAGCAAACTTCAGTGGTCAAATGCCTCAATAGTTTACAGAATTTTATCATAAGGTGGAGTTTTAATGCTGCTCTGTATCGGTGGTAAATTCTTTGTAAACTTGTTCATAATTAAGCCAAATAAAGAGAAAATTGCAAAGTATACTGCAGTCTAAAATCCCATACACTTCTTCTAACATGTTATGTTACTATGTGTGTATAGCTCCAAAGACATCCTCCAGACAAACATCAGAATTAGTTTCTGTGTTTTGCTTCTGGAAAAAAGAATGATGTTCAGCTGGGGATTTGCATCAATTTGCGCATCACATTTTTTTCAAATTCAGAACACTAGCTTGCTTTACTGAAAACTGTATACAGTTATTTGGTCAGCAAAGTGCCATTTACAGAATCTGTGGAACGTTTCTGGGTTTGCTGTGGCCAAGCACTGGGCAGTGTGTCCCTTCGTGATGCACAAATCGAACAATTGCATGCGAACAAAGAATCAGCAGCGTCATCTATTGGGCAGGAAAATAAGGTGCCACACACCTCACCCTGGAGCAAATGGCTTTCTTTGGCCTCTGCCTGTATTTCCCCATTATTTAAAGTATAATCAATTCTTCTTGCTTTTCATGTATTTCGAATAAGCTAATGGTGTTAACTATTAATGTGATATTAATTGGCTGTAGCAAGTAGAAATAAGATACCAAGTATACTAGTTAGTCAGACATTAATTTGACCAGCTCTTTTCTTTGGTATTGGTGTAGCACAAATGCCATTTCCAATCTCTGCCTTTATAAATCTGGCCATGTCTGAATTCTGGGCACCTAATGGATTTGCCACTAAATAAAAACATATGCTCTGGAATTTAGAACTTTGTACTGGACCTGAAAACTAATTAACATCCTTAATAATATTTGTCCTAAATGGTTTATTTAAAGTGTAAAAATTTATAGCATTCAGTTAGAGTTTTGTCTGGGGGAAGACAGAATGGGATGTTTTTTCTTCTTTTGTACCAAGGGCTGAAGGAAGTGGTACATGTCAGACTTAGGATATGGCAGAATTTTTCTCCTGGGGTTTATAATTGGTGTCATGTGACATTTTTCTGTATGCTATCTGGATTCAAGATAGTGAAGTATCATCCCAAAAATTAGCAAGTCAGCAAGCTTTATGTTATTTAATTTTCTAATTCTTAAATTCTTCACAGGAATCAGTGGACCTCTTTACAGTCGAAGAAATTATGTCCATATAGGCAGTTACAGTCATTATTGTGTCATCTGAATTTCTGCTTTCTCAAATGTATCAGTATTGTCAAGGTTTGGGAGTAGGCTGGGATGGGAAATAGGTTGGGAACTCACTGGTTATGGACAATGCCCAGCAAGGAGAAAGTGAATTGTTTCCTTGACTTCAGTGGATGTTGTATCTATTCCAAACTGAAATTCATACACTGATGTAATAACTCATAATACATCCTCAGTCTGTTCCACGTGGATAATGCTCACCTGTAATGAGAGTCGCTCACCTTTATAAGTGGAGATTTTCAGTACCCTCAACACATTTTTATTGTCTATAAGACAGGTATCGTTGTCAAGGAATTAACTTAAAGACGTCCAGTTTTCTTACATTCCAGATTTTGTTGTTATTATTAGGCAGCACTGATTACTACCATTTGGTAGTAATGTCACTAGGTAGTAATCTTCCCTGTTAGAAAATGGAAAACTTAATAATATCTTTTCTATTTCAAGACTGTAGGTGGAACCTAATTCACATAAATATTGAAGCCTCAATATTACATAATAGAATACATTTGTATGAATATATGTGTTAATTTATAAGAACAGGAACCCAAATTTCTAGCATGAGAGCTACATTTAATAACACAAATAGGTGATAATCCACTGTAGGTTTTGTCTCTTTTTATGGTTTGCTAGTTTTTCTTTATAACCTAAGTTTGTTTTTCTGAAGGAGGAATCAACAATAGAATGCCACTGGCGGTAATTGTGTCGATGTAATATGTTTTAATACTGACCCCTAGTGACAGAATTCTATTTTTGAGCTAATGAACTGCAAGGTAAAGAGATTTTGGGGGGTTTTGTGCTTTGTGCTGGGTTGGTTTTTTACAATAACACCCTCTCTTCTCTGCTCTGTAAAATACAAACAGTTATCTCATGCCATGAATTGATTCCTTTTTTTCCTTTCTCTTGCTGTATATCCAT